GTTATCAGACTGGTTCTTCATTTCCACCATCCTTTTCACAATTACCTTTCTTGCACTTCACAAAGAAAACGCAAAATATAAAGAACAAAGTGAGAGGTACTTATTTTAAAATTTTCCAGGGGCACCAAACAAAATTATAATTTTTTTTTTTTTTTTTTTTTGCAGTTTTTGGCCAGGGCCCACCACCTCTAGTATATGGGGCTGGTGCCTTACTCCTTTGAGCCAGAGGCACCACCCTAGGTAAAAGATCTTTTTGAAACCACATGGTTTCCAATTCTTTGTTTTTAATGAAATTGAAGGAAGACCAAATTGAGTAGTCACTGATAGATTATTAAAAACCATCAGCAGCTCTATGGATGAATTTTGGCCTTTAACTCAGAAGGAATTTCACAATTTTATTCTCATTCCATATAAATTCCTTATATTTATGAGAACAAGTTTATAGTAATTATTAATTTGTATTTATGAGAATAGTACTATGGTAATAATAAATAGAAATAGACACAGTGTAATAACCAAGCTCCCAGCCCTTAACCCCCTCCCTAAGACCAGTGGGGAACAAGCCCCCTACCCTAGAAAAAGAAACCTCTCCTAAGCCTTTTAGTTCCTTCCCTCTCAAGGGTAGAGAAACAGCCTGAAATTAAGGAAGTATGCAGAGAGGGGTTGAGGAAGGGAGGAGTTGATTACAAATAAAACCCCAGATAAAAAGGTCCCAAGTTGTTCTTGGAAATTTACCCAACATTTGTTTTGTACCCCTGAATTATGAGCTAATATACCCTAAGTAAACATGTACCTCCACCCTGAATTGTGTAAACCCCTATGACATACCCCATCTTATGATCATGAAGTAATGTGATATATCTTGTGATGTATGAATCAATATGTACCCTTACTTTGTGACCCCTGAGCTATATTGAGCTGTGCTAACTGCTATGATTGGCTTCTGTATTGCACTAGCTTGCTAGTCACCATGACTATGCAGAACAATGGTATAAAAGGCTTTTCCCCCGTTATTTGAGGCTTCTTGTTGGCCCACCACAAGAGTCCCCTGCAGGTGCACCTGCAGGTGTATCAAAATCATCAATAAATTTCTATTAATTAATTATATCTGAAGTGGGGTCCATCCTCTCAGTTGCCGGATTACAACAACAGGCTGGCCACAAGTCTGGCCTGTGCTGGCTGCCTAGGTGCACAGCACAGCAGCAGCCTTCTGTGAGGCAGGGAGATGCTTCTGTGGGAGCTGGCAGCATTCCAGCCCATCAGCTTGGGCATTAGGGCCACATTAGCCATCACCTGCTACATGTCCTAAACAGACGTCCACCCTATGAGGGATGCAGGTTTAAGGCCCTGCTATGAGGCACAAGGGGCTCTGCAGGCCCAGAGAGATAGTCCCACCAGCCATCAGACACCAGGCACCAACTGGGCAAACCTCATCCTGACAGCAACCATCATTTGGATGAGCAGGAAGATGGAGGGGCAGCCTAGGAATCATTTGCGAGAACTCCAGCCCTGGAAGCAATACCTTTAGAAACAGTCTCCAGATCATCAGAATCTGTCTGAATATCATGCTAAATGAACTTTTAAAATCTTCCTTCTCAGTAGAAAACAGTTGTAGGAGGGAGGACTGAGAATTTAGTCAGGTTCAAGCACCCCACTGCAGTCTAAAGGTCAGTAGGTTTTCACCTGCCAAAAACATTCTTCTGCTCATTTTGTTTTTGTTTTTTTTCCACGAAGAAAGTGTTCACTGACTTGAAGTATTGTCAGTTAAAATTGGTGGCTCTTGCGGGTACAAGCATTGTCTGATGGGAGGACACAGCCTTGCACGCTGAGCACCTTGGACTTGGGGTGAACTGTTGGCATGTGGGATTGGGAGTCCATCCAAGGCATCTGCCGCAGACCAGGACACACTGGTCTTTCCCATCTGTCTATTGCTCTGATTGTTGATTACAACCCTAATTATAGAATTCCTTCACTCATCTCTCACTTGCTATCAGCTTCAGCCTTTCTTGTACCACATCTTCTCCTGAACTTCACTCACTACTAGATTTCCCCCAACCATACTCATAGAGTCAAATCAAAATGAGACCATTGGCTTTGAATATGAGTCCTTGGTTCCAAAGGTAAAATGTTTATAACTGTTATACATGGGTTAGTCTCTTTCTTTACTTCACAGAACCATTTAAAATTCATAGAACATGGTCATTCTCCAGGTTAACATGTCCCCAGACTGAGCAGTTTGCAGATCCTACAGTGTCAAAGAAGTGGGAGTATTTATATGTACACTAGAAATGCTAGAGTTTTCAAAATTATGTATATTTTCACAATGTTTCTACCTCTGAATCTTAGATAATAGAAGTATGAGGCTTTGCTTATTTTAAAACATGGAAAGGATGCAAAATAGAATAATTGCTTATCCTTTTCTCAGATATTGCTGAAATAAATGGTATGAACTGTTTTTATTAAGTATGTGGTAATATATGGTCACATTGTAGATTGAATAAGATCTGTCTGAAGTTGTGGCTGGTCTTAGGTGTCATCTAATGTCATCTAATGATACCCTCTGTGGCAGCACGAGGCTGAACTACTCTGGTCACTGAAGATTCTAGCCAGTGGGAATCATTATGTGTCTGTCCTCTAGTTGCAACACAACTGCAGACACATAACTAGAACATGGTGCAGCATTTTTATATATGAACTGTGGTAGAATGAATTTATGATGTGGAAATGCCTTGTAGGGTATCACACTTAGTCTTTAAGTGGCAGCACCAGATTGGACTTTTCTGGTCACTGGCAAGGTGAGCCTTAAAATTTTTAATACACATTCTCAAATTGGAACTATATTACATTTTTTTACAACTTTGGGGGTATCTGGTCAAGAGGAGACAAGATTTTTCTCTGTTCATAAAGATACAATAAACTCAGCATGTGTTGACCACCAAATTAAAAAAAAAGAATAGAATTGATACTGAATGGTGTTATCATTCAAGCAGTAATTAATTTATATACATAATCCTAAACTAATTAAAGAACCTAGTTTGTCCATGCTACTAAGAGGTACATTTCCAATTAAAGTTTATGTTAATGCCAATATTTATTTTTCTTTGTTTTATTTCATTTTTTATTTCAAATTAATTCCAATACATATTTTTCAAAATTGGTAATATGTATGTTGTTCTGGTCAATGGTATATGAATAGTAATTCTAATAATAACTCAATTTAGAGTGCCCCTTAGAGCCTATGATCATAAGAAATTTAGAAATCTTGTAACATATAGGTATTTTTAATGCAGAGAAGTATGGTAGGGTGATCAATAAAAAATTTCCAAGCATAAAATTATTTTACATTATGACAAAACTCTCTGTGGAGAAGGTGAAATGGAAATATGAGTTCAAGGAGAAAAAGAAATAATCTAAATCTCCACCTGTTGAAAATAAAAGCTTGTTCATTTACTTTTTAAATTGAATAATGCTAAGTATTAAATATCATGTATTTAAATTCCATTGACTTATGTTTTGAAGAGTTTTATTTTAAAATCTTGATATTTAGGGCAGTGCCTATGGCTTAATGAGCAGGGCGCCAGCCCCATATACTGAGGGTGGTAGGTTCAAACCTAGCCCTGGCCAAACTGCAACGAGAAAATAGCCGGGCATTGTAGAGGGCACCTGTAGTCCCAGCTACTCAGGAGGCTGAGGCAAGAGAATCACCTAAGCCCAAGAGCTGAAGGTTGCTGTGAGCTGTGGTACCACAGCACTCTACCAAGGGTGACAAAGTGTCTATCTCTAAAAAAAATAAAAATAAAAATAAAAAAATCTTGATATTTAAAATATGCAGGAAGTTACATCCTTAGCACTAGCACTTGGAATTTTAAAACCTAGATGTTGACTTTAAAATGTATAAAGGGCTACATTATGATTTAGATCCTTTTAGGTAATACATGAGAAGAAATGCTCCGAGCCTACTAGGCTACACCTATAATAGTATGATTTCTTCTCCTTCATTTCTTGAGTAATTTTCTTATTTTCCTACCTAGATTGCAAGTTCTCTTTGCGTAAGAATTATGTCCAATTTTTTGTGTTTTCCCCCAGAGCCTCAGGGAGAGGAGCATGTAAGCAAATCAAGCAGCTGTGGAGCTAAGCCAGGCAGGCCTTGACTTAAGCAGTCTTTGTTCCCTGGGAGTATGTTAGCTCATGCTCATAGATTTTACATGCATTGCACATATTGCTCAGTTCTGCTCTTTGGTTAGGAAGGTATCCCCATTCCAAAATACAGTTCCCCATCATCACCTGCTAGTGGCACAGGCAGTTCCTTCAAATAATAGTGCAAACCTTCAGTCCACATTTATCAAAATGCATATATCCTTATGGGAAGTAACATTGGCCCAGAATAGACTAAATTTTTTATAAAGGAAGATGAGGAGAACAAAGAGGTCACTTGTCTAGGGTTTACATGTTGGCTCCTTAAGCTGACTGCAGAGTGAACCAAGTAGCTCTAGTGTATTGAAGTTATCTTGAGGAAGGGATTAGACAGGACCTTATTCATTCTGATATGATCGGCCACACCATTCTCATTTCTGGGAAAACATTGTTCTCAAGTAGAAAAGCTCTTGGTGCCTAGAATAACTCAGAAATGAATATGATGTCTAAGGTTAACCCTACTTGGCCTCCAGTTTACAATTCACCCCAAAGTAAAACTAAGTGGTCAAACCAGACCTTCCTTTGTGTGAGTGAATGAGTTAAAACACTTTCCTGTTTCTGATAACTTCATACAATCCAAACCTTTGGGTTGCAAATTTTTCTTCCTCTGGTGTAAGCAAGATTTTGAGTGTGGTGCCTTAGACAGTAGGCACACAGTAGGCACTCAATAGATATTGCTCAAATAAACAGATTTTCAGCAAGGGAGGGGACTCCTGAGGAGTTATTAATAATGAATGTAGACCGCCAACTAATCTGAAACTGAGGTCCGTAAAAATTTATATCTTTGATTTATTTTTTTTCTACAGCAAGTAAAAGGGAACTTTACTAGATTGCAGGCCTGCATCTCAGAGCTCCGCATGCTACAGAGAGAGGGCTGTTTCAGAACACAAAGCACTTCTCTCCGGCTGGCAGTAGAGGATGGGCTCCAGCAGTTCAAACAATACATCAGACATGTGACCACGAGTGCAGCTCTGACCTACACTTCCCTGGAGGTAAGAGACGCTGGCCTTTAGGACTCCAAGCCATCTTCTCATTTCAGGCAGTCTAGGTGCTTCATTATTTATCATCCTTACATTGTTCTGTGTTTCATATACATTGAATATAGTTTGCAAAGCTAGCTTTTCAACCTCTGTGGGCAGAGGACATGTTTCTTTTTTTCCTACAACCTGGATACTCCATTAGTTCTTAATAAAGACATAGGCAGAAAGAGGAGCTCTAAACATATAAGTCAAAGTAAATTATAAAAAAAACTAAAATCAAAATAAAATCTGAATATTCCATTTACCTCTAGATTTTTAGAACTCATAAAGCACACACTGAACTGCTAAAATTAGTATTATATTTACCTGGGTACACTTAAGAATTTATAACTGTTCTTAATCAAAACTTGGCACCAAATTGAGTAAATCTTCTCATGATTAACACATGTAAAAATGGCTACTATTCTTGTGCCAGACTGAGACAATCTTAAAAATATAAATAAGCCATGGCTGGATACTTCATTAGGTACATGAGTGAGTATAACTTAAAATAGTTTTCAGTCTCTTATAACCTAAGGAATCAAACAGATGAGTTAAAAAATACAGTAGAAGTTGACCATCCAAGGTACTATAACAAACTGGCTAACATAGGTAGGTGGTCAACATAAGGAACTAAGCTTACTGTACCAATAGGTACATGTGGTGCATGTCTGGTCTATGAAAATTAAGTCAATTTAGGCAAGTGGTATAAGCAGGTAATAAACTATGGAAGTTCTACTGTAATTGTGTGGAATTTCTAGTTCCAGTTCTGCATATAAGGAGTTTGGAAGTCAACAACTAGTAAAAAAAAAAAAAAAAATGAACAAACTGAAAATCCACACCTCTTTTTAGAACCCTAAGAGAAGTTAGGTCACAGGGCAAACTGCTGCCACCAAAACTGGAGCAACATCAGACATGTACAGAGAATCACAAGAGATACAGAAGCAGAAAATTCCACAGGAACCAGTGCTAGAGTAGGAAAACCTGAACTATAATTGACAAACTGCTGGAGGGTAGGTGTGGACTAGTCTGAAAGTTAAAAACCCCAGGGAGACCTAGTCATAGGAGGCCCCACCACTTCTGTGAGTTTTACCTCCAGGAACTCAACCAGGTCCTCATAGTGAATATCAGGGAAAACATCCCTCATGTCTTTGACAGGGAGAGGAGAAAAGGAACCACTTGAAATGCACCAGAGTATTCTGCTCTTAACAAGTTCTGCCCTCAGGAGAAACTAGTTAAACAGAACCTAACCTTCTGTGGTTTTATCAGAGCCTGACCTGGGAGAAGGGAAATAAATTACCCTCAATGTAGCAGAAAAGAAATATTCAACTCCAGCCCACACTTGCTATCCGGTCCCACCTGAAGGGGGGTGGGGGTGGGCTGAGAAACACCTGTGGAGTTCACAGTCCAGAGGCATAGGTTAACTAAAAGACCAAGATATTATGCTAGAATTATAAAATTCTTCTCCCTCCCCATTTCATACCACCACATTACTAAAGGCCTACTTCCCGCTGTTCCTTTAACTCAGTATGTCATGTCCAATTATCATGAAGAAATATAAGGCATAGTAAAAGGCAAAAAAACCCCACATTTTGAAGAGACAAAGCAAGCATCAGAACAGACATGGCAGGAATGTTGGAATTATCAGACAATAGAATTTAAAACAACTGGGCAGTGCCTGCTGCTCAGTGAGTAGGGCACTGGCCCCGTATACCAAGGGTGGCAGGTTCAAACCCGCCCCAACAAAATGCAACCAAAAAATACCCGGGCTTTGTGGCGGGCCCCTGTAGTCTCAGATACTCGGGAGGCTGAGGCAAGAGAATCGCTTAAGTCCAGGAGTTGGAGGTTGCTGTGAGCTGTGTCACGCCAAGACACTCTACCAAGGGCAACAAAGTGAGACTCTATCTCTACAAAAAAAAGAAAGAAAGAAAGAAAGAATTTAAAACAACCATGATTAATATGCTGAAAGCTCTAATGGATAAAAGTAGACAGTGTGTAAGAACAGATAGGCAATGTAAGCAGGTGAAAATGCCAAGAAAGGTTCAGCAGCTATAGCACAGTGGTTTACGGTGCCCATCACATGCACCAAGGGTGGCGGGTTCAAACCCAGCCCATGCCAGCTAAAACAATGATGACTGCAACAAAAAAATAGCCGGGCATTGTGGCAGGCACCTGTAGTCCCAGCTACTTGGGAAGCTGAGGCAAGAGAATCCCTTAAGCCCAAGACTAACCTAAAATTAGTAGAAAGAGAAATAATAAAGATCAGAACAGAAATAAAAGAGAGACTAAAAAATAATACAAAAGATCAATAAAACAGTTGTTTTTTGAAAAGATAGACAAAATCAACAAATCTTTAGCTAAACTAAGAAAATAAGAGAGATGACTCAAATAAATAAAATTAGAGATGAAAAAGGATACATCATAGCCAATACCACAAAGGATGAAAGATCATTAGAGATTATTATGAACAACAACAAATAGGAAAGCTTAGAAGAAAGGGTTAAGTACCTAGATATATACAAACTACCAAGATTGAATCATGAAGAAATAGAAAATTTGAACAGACCAATAACAAGTACTGAGATTAAATCAATAATAATCAGCCCAGGACCTGATAGATTAGCTGCTAAATTCCACCAAACATTTAAAGAAGAACTAATACCAGTTTCTCTCAGACAATTCCATAAATTGAAGTGGAGGGAAGTCTTTCAAACTCATTTTATGAGGCCAGCATTACACTGGTACAAAAACCAGACAAAGACACAACAAAAAAACAGAACTACAGATCAATATCCCTGAAAAGTCCTTAATCAAATATTAGTAAACCAAACCAACAACACATCAAAAAGGTCATTCACCATGATCAAATGGGATTCATTCCAGGAATTCAAAGATGGTTCAACATACACAAATCAATAAACATAATACATCACTTTAACAGAATACAAAAACTGTATGATCATCTCACTACATGCAAAAAAAGCATTCAATAAAATTTAACATACTTCATGATAAAAACCCTAAACAAATTAGGTATAGAAGGAATATACCCAACACATGATGGGCATAATATTTAACAAACCCACAGCTACTGCACACAGAAGAGAGAAAAGTTTAGATTTTACTCTGCATCCTTCTTCATAAATCAAAACCATCTCAGTGCAAAGGGAATTATGTATATTTAATGATTACCATCCAAAGTTTCAAAGTCTAAGAGAAAACTGCTAAATCATATTCACATGTGATCCTTCTGTGACAAGGATTTGCTCTTCAGCTTCCAGGACAGGCTTTCCAAGTTCCAAAAGTGGAATGGAATGCAAATACCTTAGTATTCCTTTAGGTCAGATGTATTAGTCAAGAGTAAGTACATTTTAGGTCAGGCGCAGTGACTCATGCCTGTAATCCTAGCACCCTGAGAGGCCGAGGCAGGTGGATTGTTTGAGTTCATGAGTTCAAGACCAGCCAGAGCAAGAGTGAGACCACCGTCTCTACTCAAAATAGAAAAACTGAGACAGGAGGATCACTTGAGTCCAAGAATGGAGGTTGCTGTGAGCTATGATGCCACAGTACTATACCTGGGGTAACAGCTTGAGACTGTCACAAAAAAAAAAGAATAAGTACATTTTAGAGTCAAAAGGGCAAAAGAAATAGCTCAACTGGATCCAGCTTGAACAAGGAGAGAAAACAGTCTAAGAAGACTATATTAGAAATACCATTGAGTGAAAGGAACATATAGGCTCTCTAATATTTAGTGAGTTTCCTTCGCTTACTTGTAAAATCCAAGCGTTTTTGAGCAGGTGAGATGCTGTCAGTGCTTCATGCAGTCTTAAAACACTAATCACAGTGGCTCCTCACTGGTCACTTTCTGGGGTTGGCTTCGCCTGATTGGAACGCTCCTGTGATGACCTGTCCTGTCAGATAAAATTTGATTCATAAGTTACCATTAAATCCTCTTTGCATTAACCAGGATAGCGCCCACCACAGACTTCTGTTGTGTTTATCTTCCATTTACAAACTGTTACATTTCTCATTCTGTACATCAGGGAGAATGAACATGTTGATTCTTGGATTTATTTTCAGATTACTGTTCTGACTTCTCAGCCTGGAAAAGAGGTGGTCAAACAATTGGAGGAAGGGTTAAAAGACACAGACCTAGTCAGAGTCAGGAGGCTTCAGGTTGTTGAAGTCACAAAGGGAATCCTAGAGCATATGGCCTCAGCATCTCCTGCTGAAGATTCCAGCAATGACGGTAAGAATTGTCTCAACAAGGTAAAAAGAATGGTAAGAATTTTAATGAGTAGTCTTTTACTGGTCAAGAAGGTTATTTTCTGGAGTCTTTTTAAATGATATTCTTAAATGATAAACAAAGCCAGAGATTTCACTGAGGTTCAGACATATGTTTCTAGGTGTTAAAATTGAATTTTTTTATTTCAGTTTAATATGAAAGTAACAATTAGGTTACATAAATTGCTTTGTAAGGTTAGTCCATGTTGTAGTTGTATCCTTCACCCAGGATGTCAGGATGTGTGACACATATTCACTCAATATACCTGTTGGGTGGGCATTTACCTATCCCTTCCCTTCATCCCCCTATTTGAATTTAATTTAATTTTTCTCTCATGTGAACCTGTATTTGGAAAGAAATATGGAGAGTTAAATTTTTAATAATTATTTTATTTCAGAAATAATGATAAAAACTGAAATATGTATAAAAAGTAAAAGTTCCTTCTTTTTCTAATAACTTTGAAGTGATAGGGGTATCCTTCCCAACATTCCTTGATATATGCATACACACATACTTAATATTTTAATGGGATCATGATATACCTAATATTCTAAAAACTTCTTTTTTTAATTTTTTTTATTTCAGATTAATGTGAGGGTACAAACAACTAGGTTGCAATGTTTGCATTTGTTAGGTAAAGTCCCTCTTGTAGTTGTGTCCCACACTGAAAACTTCTTTGTTCGTGTGTGTTAAACATCTATGTAATTTTTAATAGATACATGATTTCTTTACTGTATGGTTGAACCACAGTTTATTTGCTTAATCACTTTTTATGAACAATTTGGTTTATTACAATTTACTATTATAACTAATGCTATATGAACAGACTTATGTGCAGGGGATAGCTTCATGAGCTAATGATCAGTGTAGTCCTACACAGAGGCCTAAGTGCAGAAAGGTCCCATCCTTGGCATTTAATGCTCTTGGGTTACTCTTTTAAAATTCTTTTTTTTTTCTTTTTTCTTGAGAAGAGTCTCCCTCTGTTTCCTAGGCTAGACTGCTGTGGCATCATCATAGTTCACAGCAACCTTAAGCTCTTGGCCTCAACCAATCCTTAGCCTTTCAAGTAGCTAGAATTACAGGTGCCCACCACAACACCTGGCTAATTTTTCTAGTTTTATAGACACAAAGTGTCTATGCCTAAAAAGAACTTATTCTGTCTCTACTGGCACAGATCTTAGAGTACTATGAGGTTGTCTGATACCTTTCTTAAAAATAGAAGTGCATTTAAATGCAGGAAAGCAGCTTTATACGTTGTGTCAGCACTGACAACTCTTCCAGTAACTTCCTATTTGCTTCTAAATAATGCACCATCCTATAAATTGCTTATAATTCCTCTTTGTGTATTAAGTGTATATGGTTCATTGCTTGAAATCATCTTAGTTTTTGCCTGTATTTTCCTCATAATTAACTCCTTTATTCCCTTAGTGTTTTGCTTTATCTTGGTATTGTTATTAAGACATTAGCAACAGGAGCTTTTCTCATTCTCAGGAAGATGAATGCATCAGAATTAGGTGGCCTGAGTCTAAACCCTTAGTTTATACTATCATTACTAGCTGTGCAACTTTGGACAGGTTCTTAGCCTCACTAAGCCTTGGTTATTAATTCCTACCCCATGCAGTAGTTGTGAGAATTAAATATATTTTAATTGCCTAGCATATAGTAAATACCCAGTAAAAGTTAGCTATTCTTATTATTTATAATTTTGAAAATATTTTGTGTATGTAGGGTTTAGTATATTTCTGAGATTTATTTATAATGGCCAGGTCTTAAGAGAACTATCAGTTACCTGAAGCTAAGACTGTGTCTTATACATCTTTGTATGACTACTACTTATTTGCCTGGTGCATAGTAGATTCTCAATAAATGTTTATTGAATAAATAAATGAATGATTAAAAAAAAACTCCATATACTTTGAAGACTGGTACAAGTGGAGTGGTGTTTACAATTGATCACAACCAGTTACAGATTTCCTTTGTTCCTTCTCTACTCCCACTGCTTCACTTGACCAGTCTTAAAATAAAAACAAAAACATATGATTTGGGAGTGGTTCTGGTCACCCTCTGTAACATGAGCTCAAATATCCCAAACACCCATATCTTCCCTCTGTAACCCATGAATATCATGAATTGATTCAAACACTTCTTAAATCTAGTTAATTTTTTAAAATTCTGATTGTCATCATCATCAATTAAAAAAAATTGTCTATACTCCACTTTCGAAGAGAGAACCACATCAAAAGGAAATGTTGATATTGCAGATTAGTTTACAAAGTAACTATGATAGGAGGGAGAGGAGAGGAGGGAGGGAGATGGGGGATCATGGTGTATGGCACACCTCTTGTGGGAAGGAAAGAATTATAAAAAGAGACTTTACCTAACAAATGCAATAAGTGTAACCTAATCCTTTGTACCTGCAAAGAATCCCAAACAATAATAATAAAATTTAAAAATTAAAAATAAAAATAAATAAAGTAAACTATAAGAAAATATCCTTCAATCAGTCTGAATTCTGCCTTCTTTAGTATAGTCCTGCACAGTGAAAACTAATCAACACAAAGATGACTTAGAAACTCTACAAGATCCAGAATCATCCAAGAAAGAATGAAATTGAGAAAGTAGATTCACACTTATTTAACAAGATCTCTAAGATGAAAAACTTTAAATTGTATTCACATTAATTAAATTTCAATTTTTAACTCATATAGCCCATCATATATTTGGTTTGTTTGTTTACTCTGTCACCCAGGCTAGAATGACATCATGGCATCAGCTTTGTTTACAGCAACCTCAAACCTGTGGGCTTAAGTGATCCTCCTGCCTCAGCCTCCCAAGAAGCTAGAACTATAGGTGGAACTATACTCATGATGATACCTGGGTAATTTTTCTATTTTTAGTAAAGACTAAAAATAGAGTGAGGTCTCACTCTTGCTCAGGCTGGTCTTGAACTCCTGACTTCAAATGATCCTCCTGCCTAGACTTCCTAGAGTGCTAGAATTACAAGTGTGAGCCACCTCACCCAGCCCATATGCTTTCTTTCAACTGTATAAATAGTATTTCCTTTAATTTGTTCCTGCTTGGTCTAACTTTTTCATTTTATTCTTTATTTTAAAATTTAGCTAAAAGATCCTATCCAGTGCACTTTGTAGTAGCTTTTGCCTGAGTATTTTAATTGTTTATCATAATTTATATAAATGTAAATAGTACAGAAGTTTAAAATGATTCAAAATTTCAGAGATGACCACCACCAGCAGTATAGGACGCATTCTACTATATTGCTTTCCCTACACCTACAGGTTTATTGACATACATGTAACATTTTTGTTGCTACTGATATTATTTCCTTTTACTAAAATATGCCATACTCTGCATATTTTTACTAAAATATGCTGCTCTGCATATTTTTTCCATTTAACTATTTATCACCACCAGCAGTATAGGACGCATTCTACTATATTGCTTTCCCTACACCTACAGGTTTATTGACATATATGTAACATTTTTGTTGCTATTGATATTATTTCCTTTTACTAAAATATGCCATACTCTGCATATTTTTCTAAAATATGCTGCTCTGCATATTTTTTCCATTTAACTATTTATCCAGTAATTTTTTTCCATATAGCACATAAAAATCTAGCCCATTCCTTTCAATAGCTATGAAGTATTTCAATGTATGATGAATATATCACCATTTATTTAACCATCCAATTGGATTTTTACATTTTACTAGAGAACTGCATGACCTAGTACAAGTTACTTTAACTCTTATTCCACAAAATTTCTCATTTATGAAATAAAGCAATTATACAAAATGTTCCAAAAGTTTCCACACATAGGGGAAAATGGGAAATTGTAGCTAAATGTACTTTTATTTGCAAAATTTATTACTAAACTTTACAAAGAGGTAGGACCGGTAGTAGTTACCTCATAGGGCTTTTGTAAGGATTAAATACAATTTGCATGAAAGTGTTTAGAACAGTGCCTGGCATAGATAAATGTATGCATGTATTGATATTAATAGTAGTACTTTTTTAATATTTGCTTTTTACTGATAAAATGTCAAACTCTAATAATTTGTATTTTATTGAAATAAAATAAGACTGTAAAATAATTTTAATTTAAAGTCACTCATAATACCTGGGCACCTGGAAGAAACAGAACATGTCGGCTCGGCACCTGTGGCTCAAGTGGCTAAGGTGCTAGCCACATACACCTAAGATTGTGGGTTCAAATCCAGCCCGGGCCCACCAAAACAATGACGGCTGCAACCAAAAAATAGCCAGGCATTGTGGCGGGTGCGTGTGGTCCCAGCTACTTGGGAGGCTGAGGCAGGAGACTCACTTGAGCCCAGAAGTTGGAGGTACCTGTGAGCTGTGATGCCACAGCACTCTACCCAAGAGGACAACTTGAGGCTCTGTCTCAAAAAAAAAAAAATGGACACATTCCTAAAAGATATGCCCACCAAATTTAACTCACAAATGAAAAATCTGAATGTTTTCCATAATGTACCAATCCCAGGTGGTTTTACAGACAAGTTCAACCCAACTTTCAAGCAACAGATCACACCAGATACATTGTCCTTAAACAAGGACAATATAAGGAAAGAACATTGAAGGCTAATCTCACCCATGAAAATAAAATAATCTGGCTCTGAGCCTGTAGCTGAAGCAGCTAAGGCACAGCCACATAACCAGAGCTGGTGGGTTCAAAGCCAGCCCAGGCCTGCCAAACATCAATGACAACTACAACCAAAAAATAGCCAGGCATTGTGGCAGATGCCTATAGTCCCAGCTACTTGGGAGGCTGAGGCAAGAGAATTGCTTAAGCCCAGGAGTTTGAGGCTGTGAGCTGTGATGCCATGGCACTTTACCAAGGGTGACAGCTTGAGGCTCTGTCTCAAAAAAAAAAAGAATCTTAAATAATCCAGTCATATATAAAAAGATAATACTGTACTGACCAAG